ACATCCTCTCTTCAACAGGGATGTAGACATTCGACAGAATAGAATTTTCCTACTACTCTACAATCTTTTTTTTTATAAGGAATAATAATGCCTATATCAGTACATATTGGTAACAGCTCCTGTGAAGCTGCTTAAAGTATACTAGTCATTGAAGAAAAAAACTCAATAGTGTTTTTATCATCGTTAAAGAAGAGCTTTTGGAAAAGAATTAAATTTAGTTGGACTCCCATCTGCATTTAAGACAGCACATATATTAGCATACCTCTAGCATGTGGGCGAACTTGAGAAAGAACAAAGGCTTTGGAATAGGAAGCATTCTGCAGAATTATTGTCTTTGGAAAGTTCTGTTAGAAGCTGTTGGAAATAGATACAAAACAGAACGTCCACTTGGAAGATAGGATACACAATTTGGAAGGCACTTTCCAAACACAACAAAGAAGTTTGGTTTATTGTTTCAGCTGAGAGATGAGCTTGTATCATTCAAACACTAGTTTTTAGAATGGAATAAGTTCCAACGCTATTTCATAGATTTAGTTTTGACAAATGCAGCCAATGTGCTAAGTGGCTTTTGCTGTATCCAGAGTAGCCTACTTATAGATGTTACTGCTGGGTGTTACTGAAAAATTTTTAAATCTGATAGTTTTTTTTACATTCTTCAAGTCTGCCGGTCTTTTCATTCATTCTGTGGGGAATGCTAATACATCACAATCCAGCAGACAGCACGTGCTGCCTTTTCCATAAAAGAGATGAGGAATGGGAATTTGAATAGCTAGCATCTAGTGCACAGCCTCACCACCGCTGCTGCCATGTATCTGTGTGAGTGAATGAGTGGGGAGAGGGTACAGGAGGGAAGTATTACGGCAAAGCATGAATCCGCTGCTGTGCTCATGGGAGCAGAAGCTGACTGTCCAGCAGCAGCTATGCTGTGGCTGGGTGTCCCTTCTGCATGTGTGTCATTTCTAGCAGTAGCAGGGGAGAAGGCCCGACTTGTGCGTGTGCTTCCTGGCAGAGCCCACCGCTTCCCAGGCTGCAGTCCAGAACAGGGATCCAACTCCTGCAGTTGTCAAAGCCAGATCATCCTGCCGGCATGTGAGCGTAGTGAGAGGAAGGATAATCATGCGAGTATGTTTTAAGGAAATCTTGCAACGTGTTAAAAGGAATAGTTGGAGAAATTTTAGTGGCAAAGGATAAAGGAGGAGAGAGTCAAGGCAACTGCTGTGTCACCTTTTGGACTTCCTCATTTTTACCCAGGAGCCAGCTCATCCAAGGTTCATACTGGTGCCTTACTCAAAGCCTGTTGTATTGAAATAAACTGACTTCAGTAGGCTTTTGCTCAGGCTCAGAAAGTTGCATGATTGCAATAAACTACAGTGGGTCCTGAAATTGAACTAACTGTTGGCCTAAAGGGCAATAGTACCTACAACGGAGAGTTTGTCAGCAGAGGTAAAAAGGAGACAAATACTAGCTCTGGTCATATTATACTTGGCCTTCCCTAAATCTCCTGCTGATGGGAAACACTTAAAGTTTGTTTTTGATAAGTAGATTTTGAAAGGACAACTTGTTCAGAGCCAAGTTAATCCCACTGAGGAACTGAAAGTCTGGAAGATCTGCCATTTGAGCAATCTTTTTTTTTCGTTTCATCAGTTTCATAACAAACATAAGAGGAAAACAACATCTATGAAAAAAAAAGTCAGTTTCCAATCTGCTTTATATCAGTAAAAAAATGCATCCATTTAAGATAATCTGGACATATACCAACTTGAATTGGGACTCTAGTTCAAAGCCTTCATGAAAATAAATATTATTATGAAAGCCAAACAATATTGTCTAGGAATATAGTAAACTTCATTGCTACATCCTGTATTTTGTCAACAGCTTCTGCTACATGCCCTGGATCTACATTCAGGCAATGTCAATGTTGGTAATACTCTATCAGTGTGAGATTCTGAGGTACTTACCTCAGATTTATATGTATACCGTTATATAAATACCAGCTTTCCCTGACTTTTGTCTGCCTTTTAAGAATTTTCTCTTACATGTTATATCAATTACAGGTACTTCTGAAGGTGTGCTACAAAAATCTTGAATTTTGAAAAAGCATTACTTTTCATAGCATTTTTAACATATTGTTCTCTAACAAAATGAATTTAAGGCTAAGTAACAATTTCCATTCTATTCTAGGCTTTAAAGCTGCGAATAATAGCACTCCAAATGTATAGTTACCAGAAATTGAGCCACAAGAATAATCTATTTATTTACTTTCATTATATATTCCCCTTCCTGCATTTTAGCTTCATTCTTTGATAGATTACAAGCAGGTAAATTTTATGGAGAAATATCTGGCTTTGAAGTCATTTATAAAACTTCCGTTGACCTGTCAATACAAAAATCTCATTGAAGGGTTTCTGAAATCAGTATGTAAACTGGAGAACTAGGACTAGCACTGACCAAGCTAACAATTTGAAATGTCATTTCAGTTAGAATGGAATGCTTTAACTTTTTTAATAAATAAAGGCTATTCGATGTTGTTTTTTCTATAGCTATTACTATATTTAGTAGGAATGGATAACAGTCTGTATTGATTTGAATTTATGATTATTCAGAAGTTAAAATATTTAGCTAAAAATTACATTAATCTCTGGCTCACAACTTTGAAGTATTTCATTTAGGTTAAATTTTAACATCATCAGTACAGATGATACTAGTTCTCAGTTAAGGGAAAAGAAAAATACTTACTTGACCATGAATGAGCCTTTTTAAACCTTGACTGATCTCTTCTAAACATGTATTTTAAAGACCTCATCAACTATTCTGCAATCATTGTAATCATTCTTATATTCAACTTCTTTTGCTGCTTACCTAGATCATTTTCATAGAATATGAACTGTCTCGTAAGCCAGATATTACAGATGTAGGTTTAAAAAGTATGCACCCGCTTTTGTTCCACACATACACACGTGCATGTACACACGCACGCTCTCCTTCTGACCTACCTGTATACACTCTTCAAAGTGGTAGTATGACGCACTTCTCACCTGAATTTTCTGAAACAAAAGTCAAATTTCATGCCACTCCCCCCAATACAAATGCCAGAAAATAAATACATTTGGATTAAAAAAAACTTTTTAATGATCACATTTTGTGGGTTCTTTTTTTCTCCATGGCCATTCTGAACGTAATGAATAGCAATATAGAGACCTTTGCTGCAGCCTCTGACTGCCTCAGCTCAAGAGTTAGTCTATGATGAGACATACCAAACTGCTTTTAATGGTGAATTCAGCTCTTTTATTATGTGCTGACATAATACCTGCCTTTAATAAGGCAGGTATTGCCTGCTGACATAATAAGCTGCCTTTACTCTTTTTTTTTTTTCTCTTTCCCCATCCTCTCATTTTACAGCTTCAGTAAACATTAAATACAGATTTTCTCTCTTACATTGGTAGTAAACTGCTCCCATTGTTGAAACTTATCTTTAATCATGACACCAGTAGGCCCCGAATTGCATCTTGGAAGCACAAGTTAAACCACATTTGTTTCATTATTTATTTTTTGCCCAGAGATTCTCAAGGAGAATGTGTTATTTACACTAACCTTTTAGCTAAGGGTTAGCTAAGCTCCCAAAGATGTTATCTAATATGTCATTTATGACTTAATGCTAGTGCACTTACTTATTCCTTGTAGAAAAGCTGTTTATGAAGATCTTTTTCCGCTAATTTCTGATTTATTTGAAAAATGAATTTCCCGAACAGTGCTTTTTGTAAGGAATTCAAAGTAGTCTCTGATTTGCAGATCTTTGTTGTCAGAACTTTCTAGAAATAATGTGAAAATACGTTTGAAGAATGTTATTGTTAAGGTGAGGAGATGATTGAGCTTTTTCAGATATTGCATATTTTCTTCGCTCATTATAGTACTTAAAGCATCCAGTTTCCAGCTGACTCTAAAGCTTTGAAGAAACTGTTAGTACACGTGACTACTTATATTCCTGTACACACTTAGTATGTATTTAAGCACACAAGTAGGCCCAATGGTACTATACTTAAAACACTTTTCTGTATCAGGGTTCTAGAGCAAATGCAAGTGGAGGATACCACGGTAGTCATACTGGACTTTATAAACAGAGCAAAATCCTTCACTCCAGTGGTCATGTGCTGTGTGAAGTGCATGGCTGCAGAGTACGTACTTGTGATTATTGCTATATGGCTTATTGAATCTATTCTGATCTGCAGAGTTCGTAAGACCTTAAAGTTGTAACTGACTGGAAATCACTACCATATTAGCTACACAAAGTTTTAATGTGAAAATTACTTAGGTTAAATTAGACCTTCATGATATTCTGAGTCTGTGATTTTGGAATGAGTCATCCAACATATCCAAACGTGTATTCATAGTAGGGATCTATGACAGGTTCTCCAGGCAATAAAATTCACATCTTTAGAGGGTTTTATTTGCCTGACTCCTGCTTATGCTTCTAAATGTCAATTGCTTTGGAGGATTTGGTGCTCATTGTCTCTAGAACCTACAGTGGCTTTGTTAGAAAAATGCTAAAGGCACAAGAGAATTAGGAGCTGAAGTCAAAGATAGTCGTGATATGCAGTTGTCGCTATCGGAAAAATCTTTAGGTCAATGTCTAAACCATAAATACTACTAAATTTCCAAAGGGCCCTCATTTCTGGAAAGAGAGTGAGAGAGAGAGACAGAGAAGCACATATCAAATTATCAGATAAAGTCAGAATAAAGGATTGGCAAGGAACAAACACATTTTGATCTTTCCTGATGCCTGTAATAGCTTTATAACATTATTACTTGTCCCAGCCGCTTGTGTGGTAAAGGTATTGACCCAGCTACTAATCTAAACATTTAACCTTAAGTCAGAACTTTTATTTTGACTGTAAATGCATGTTTCTATAGTCCTAAATGAGGCCGTGGACAGATGCCCTGGGGGATTTTGATTAATGTTCCATTTGCGCTTAATTGTTTCTTACCATGGTTTTTTACTTTAGGGAGAGCAGGGTCCTATAGGTCCCTATGGTCCTCCAGGACTCCCTGGCATTGGACATCCAGGTCCCAAGGTAACTCTCAGTAATATATTAATATTAAAATGCTAACTCTGTGCAGTCTTTTTTTGGTGAAAATTCTTGCTGGTTGTTTCATCAAACTCTTATAATCTAAATGTAAAATGAATAATATTGACAGGTTTATATATTTGCCTAGGACGGAGAAAACAGAGCTGCCTTTCTAGCAACTCCAAGTTTTGATTATGAAGCCACTGAAACAGTAGAAGTCAGAAATAATGCCATTTAAATGAGGGTAAAATGTGTGACATGAGTTTCAAGCACTAGCAAATGCTGGCACTAGTGTGTAAACATACTTAAAGGCATAGCAATATATATCAGTCACTATGGTATACAATCAAGTGACAGATTTGCTTTATATTTCTTCACTGGGAAACAGACTGCAAGGTGGAACGCAGTCTTACTAACTCAGAGAAATCATAGCTGCCTATGTTGGCCAGCCAAATCTTCCTTTGGGGGCCTTCAAAGGCATCTATATAGGAAACATGACTACTCAGTGTAGGAGAGCTTTGTTATACTCAGCTTAGACTCAAACAAGACCTCTAAATTAAGCAGAAGCAGATCTCACCCAAATCAGCCTGGCTACTAAGTTTTTAGAGTTCCTTTATGCCACATATCTTCCTTTTTTTTTTTTTTTAGTCCAGTGCCAGTGTCTGAAATAATTTCACTTTTTTACTTTTACTACCCTAATATCTACGTTCACTGGATTCGTGCAGGTTTTCTGTGCAGTAGAGGCAGACCCTGGAATGTAGCCAGGGATTATATAGCTCAGAAACAGTAAAAGGGGCTCCATTGGATCATCCTAGGAGGGAAAATAGTTTATGGAGGAGGAATTTCACTCCTCAGTACTGTTTCTGTACTACTCTGAGGAGAGATGAAACCACTTAATAGTCTTACCCTTAAAGCACATAGTCCTTCATACACTGGAGTAATGCTGAAGGTTGTAACACCTTGTAAGTAGGAGATACAGAAACCATGTAGTGCCTGGGGTTGCTCTGCAATTAAATGTTCTACTGAAGCAGGCTTGATACAACTTGAGTACCTAGATTGAAGCTAAGGGAAGGATCCATCATAACTGAGCATCCACGCTTCATTGTACTGGTTCATTTGTACTGCAACCAAATTTAGCTTGACTTCCCTCCTCCTTGTCAGCTCCCAGGGCCTGTGCTCTAAGCAGCTGCCCCAAAGCAAAGAGATAACACCCTTTTACATGAAGGTTGCAATGCAGTCTACTGCTGCAAGCGTTAATTGCAAGTTACTTTGGAAGCAAGTTATCATTTCTGTTTACTTTACATCTCAAGAGGTGCTACATGTTTGATTTCAGAGTTATCTGGCAACATGATTAACTCATCTACATATAAATGTTATATTTTTCAAAAGCATCAAGTTGAATTAGGACTGAGATTTCTAATATTCTTTTTCACAAGGGGGCTCAAGGCCAAGAAGGAAAAATTGGATTCCCAGGACCCCCGGGAATTGGTGAGCCAGGATTACCAGTAAGTCAGTTGTATATGTATTGGAAGCGGAAATAATAAAATAGGTCTTAGTGACCTTAATTTTTTGGCAGCAGCTATATTGGCTACTGATTCCATAAACAGCTCCGTACCTAGTCTGGAGCAGCAGCAATGTGTTTGGATGTGCCAGCCCAGGATAGCAGTACTAGTTGCATGTCGCTTACCAGAGTAGGGGAACAGAGCCATTTCTAAACAAGTGGCCTTTGTTGTTGTTGTTTTAATTTGGTTTTGGTTTTTGTTGTTGTTTTAGTTTGGTTTTGGTTTTGGGGGGTGGGGGGACAGGGAGAGGGAGATTCCTTGGTCCATGTGAGCAAGACTACAGTATCCAGTTTGAAAGACTGGAAGATATGAAGTTGTTTGTTAATAGGTCCTTTTTTGATTTAAGGACAGCCTCTTAAAAATTGTCTAAAATCAAATTTTAAGAAGATGAAAATCTAAGGGGTGGGCTATTCCTCAACACCTGCAAGTAAATTTAATCGCCTCAGAAGCAAAAATCAAAATTCGCCAACATGCTTTATGCTCTTAATTGTATCTTTAAATTTTGAATTACAATAAGTTACCTTTAACAAGCATTTTTGTAGCTTTCAGAAACAGTTCTCTCCTTCTGATAGCTTTCTTGGAAGCAGCGTTTTTAATTTATAGCAAAGGGCTGTCTCTTTTCATCATTGAGTTTGTCCTCACTGGCTGCTTTTTCTTCCTGCTAGACATAGTTTAAAATACATATTTTTCTTGTGTATTTCATTAAAAATCACAAAGAGATTATTAATTAAGGATCCACACATGTGGATTGGTGTAAAACAATTACAGGATCCACATTTCATTCTAAAAAAGATTTTTAAATCACCTTCTGATTCCAAAAGAGTGTTTTTTCTCACAAAAAAATGTAGAAACTTTACATTTAATCAAGATCATCCTTAAAAGCTCTTCTAGAACTTTGTATAATGAAAGACGGTTGAATTCTCTGGAAGAACAGAAGGCTTTGCAAATAGAAATAATTATTTCAGTATTTATTAAAGCCAAATTGGCATTCTCTAATTTTGCACGTTTAGCCGTTTAAAAATATTTCACTGTTTCTCCCATACTGAAATGTTACATGTTATTTTACAACTCCCTTTTTAATGAGAAAGTATGTCCGAATTAATTATTTTAATAATTTTAGGTATATGAAATTATAGGCAATAAAATTCAGAATAGTAAATGTATGTATTTAAATTAATTCAAAGTCTTATTTGGTTTTTAAGGATACAATCTTTAGGCATTAATTATATTATTCTCACTATTTCAGCATTAGCTTATTCTAATCTGAATCCTCCAATTAAGCGTTGGTGCATTTTGTTTTAATTGCCTAGACTTAGCCAGCTGTTGTAGAAGTGTTGTTTACCGCAGTTATCAGTAGTGTGAGGGATGCAAGGAGCTATGCTAGCAACTTAGGCAAGATGTCAGTAAGAAATGTAATTGCTGATGTAGTCTGAAGATGTTTTTATTTTCTTATAGGGACCACCTGGCCCTGATGGTCCGCCAGGTGAGAAAGGGCTACCAGGAGAGGGCATTCAAGGCCAGAAGGTAGTTTTACAATAATTACTTTTTTTTTTTGGTGGGACAAATTTGCAATTGTATCTAAGTTATTTAAGAGGACTGATCATTTCACCAGTAGAAGATGTCAACTCATGGATTCAATAATGAGATAAGTTCACTTCTGGAAAACTATTTAGCTATTTATATTCTGTACTGGAAGAAAGCATGCAATAACTGTTTTCATTCTATCTTGCCATTTTGTGAAGCTAAAGCATGGGTTGTATGAGTCTCTATGGACTGCTCCATGCTCAAGGGCAATTACTAGGTTAATATATGACTCTTTTTGTAATTAACACAGATAAGCAAAGATTTGTGGTTAAATCACAACTGGGCTTCCTTTCAAAACCTAACCCTCTTATTTAGTGGTTTCAATATTTTCTAGTGGTTTCAATATTTTCTAGAGCCTTGAACTACTAATCAAAGAATATTTTTCTTCCTTTTGTAGAAAAGATGTTAGCCATGCCCTTGCACCAGAAGGTTCTGAGCTGCTCCGTCTGCTTTCATAATGAACACATTATCGCATTTTCAAAATGTACCTTCCTACTTCTTACTATTTCATTTTCTCCTTTCTCTTCTTCAAAGTCCTCTGAAATAAATTAGTTCAATAACACAATAAATGCAGATGTAGTATCTTATGAATTGTATTATTCTCTAATAATAATAATTCCATTGATTATTTTGTTTGTTTGTGAAGGAATATCTTTTCCTCATCATCGTGGTGACCATTTTGTCTGGAATGTTTTCCTTTATAAACTCCTAAATACAGTTATACAACTGCCACATGTTTCTAGGGTGAAAAAGGCTCTGAAGGTGTTGCTGGTCCACCTGGGCTGCCAGGGCAACCAATCAAAGGTGATAAGGTGAGGCACAGAGCGTTTTTCTGAACGTATTTATAGTAAAATAAATGATGAATTATTCACAGAATATCACAATATGCTAATATAGTCTAGCTGGAATTGTGAGGAACTACTCTACACCATTCCAGGTAGCTTCACAGTCTGCACTCATCTATCCAAATATCTGAGCCTTCTAGTATTAACTGAGAGCACCAAGGATTGTATTGTATGAAGCTGGGAGAATGAGGGAATAAATGGACTTTTTTTCCCCTCTAAATTTATTCCATAAATATTATTTCTAAATGTATCATATTTTAATTAAATAGAAAAAAAAAATTGAAATCTTGTAACCCCATTTGTCTCATCTAGCCTAATGGATCTGGGGCTGGCAAGTGAACAATCTAGCTTCTGAAATTTCTTAGATTTTTGGCATCCAATCCCCAAAAGTGTAATCCATAACAATTTTGATTCCTGTTGCTTGAGATTCCAACCTATATCTTATACGTCCCCAAAGAGTAGCTGGTGAAAAATGCTGAAATGTCCCATAAGGCAGAAAGGCAGAGGCAGTGGTCCAGATCTTTCTTCTCACGGTTTAGTGATGTAGCCCTTGTCCTACTCCCCACTGTTTTCCTGTCCTCCTGTCTCACAAATCCTATTCCTCAAAAGTAGCCAACAGCTTGGTCAGCAGGGCATTCATCCTAGTTGGGGCAAGTTTGATTTGAACTTATTCATCTCACTCTCCAACTAAATAGTCTCTAAGATAAGTCTCTTCAGAGCAAGCTAGGTGCTGTGGTTTGGTCTATCTGTGAGAAGCATGGTCAGTGAGCACCTATCAGACAATCTTGCTCAAGACCCTAGATACAGGAAGATGTTTTATCTGCACAGGAATGAGCTATCTTATTCCCAGGTGTGTGTAGAAAAAAATCAGTCAGAATCAGGACAGTAAGTGTTTGGGAACTTTACAGAAAATAAGCATTTCTGGGATAAGTGGAACCAATAGAGTTTTGTTACCTCGGGACTGGTGTCATACATCCCTGACACCTTCGTGGATCTCTGACCCTTTCAATACCCTTATGATCTCCCCACCATAATACCTCCATTCCCTCCCCAAGTGCTCTACGGTACCTCTGATTTCCTTTCCCTGTACAAACACACATAAGATACCTAGTCTTCCTCACTCTTCAGTATGCTTGGCTTCCCTTCTATATGCAGTTGACCATTTTCATGACACTTGTAGGAACCTACCATCTTCGAAGTCTTCTTCTTTCCAGCTCTTCTCCTTGACAGTGGCAGATAATTTCAGAAGTTTTTAGGAGTGACTAAAAGACAGATGAACAGAAAGTACAATGTTATAAGCTTTATTTCCTTGAAAAGTAGGCTAAAAATTGATGCCACGCTTGGAGCATAGCCAAGCAGAAGTTTTTGGTATCACAGTCTTGGATATGGGTGGCTGAAATTTTGTCCGAGTCCTGCTTTAGGATCTTAATTCCCTTCCTTAATTTCAGAAGTAGCACATAGTAGACAGAGGTTAAGAGCTAATTTGCTTGTTCAGACAGCCTGAGTAGAGATTGGTATCATAGTTGCTTAGTGTTCTTTCTGAGAGACATATTTCACATTACTTATCCATAATACTTCCTTAGGCTTGGATTTTATAATGCTGTATATTGCTGCTATTTTTATTCTAATAGATAGTTTTGTTGAATAGATTCTTCTAGTTAAAGTGAGGGTGTGTATATATATATATGTATCTGTATATCTCTAGATATAAATATTTACATACATGCATGCATAAAGACATAAATATATATAATAAATGCATATTTCATGTCTCAGAATAATTTAAACTCATCTTTCCAGCAAATTTTCATATAGATCTTTTATATTGTCTTGATGAATGTTATTTACAATAAACTGTAACTAAATCAGCATTTGTGAGGGCTGGCAAAGATTTTTTTCAAAAATATTATCCAGCTTACAACTTATGCTTGTAAGTTTTTCTTCTGAGTGTTGTGCAAGATATTGTGTATACTTCAGTACAAGAAAATCTTTACATTAAATGTCAGTCTGTAAAGACAATCTGCAAATCCTTTTATTAATAATGTTATAGTTGTGATAGTCTAAAGTTATAAATGAGATATAGTTTATAGAAAGGTGTGTTATTTTCTTATTATATCAACTGCTGTAGGTAGACTTTTAGTTATTCAAAACTCATTTAAATCAAATTGAAGCAGCAGACTTCAAAATAATACAGCTTGGGGACTATCGTTCTGTGCTTCGTTTAAATTAAATGTGTTAATCAGCTAATATGGATTATTGCAGTTTAGCTCTCTTGAGTACTTACTTACAAAATGTTTAATATAGGGTGAACAAGGCCAAGTGGGACCACAGGGCCCAGCAGGACCACCTGGAATAGGCAATCCAGGAAGCCAGGTAAGTTTGAGTCAGGGACAGACATTCGGCTGCAGATATGACAAAGTTGGCTGGTATGAGCTGAGTCAGACATTTATCTGTTCCATCCTTAAGTTATAGGAAGCCTATAAACTGCCAAGCTGTAGTGTAAAATCTGCGCTGTGTTTTATCTACCTCTTTCATAAAGCAGCCCCACCAAGACTGGACACAGTACTGACCCTGATGTCTCCCTGTCTTCAGATAGATGAGGATAATTTGTCTTATATAAGTTAATTCCAGTTATTACATCTCAGAATTAAATGTTTTCTTTTTTTACTGGAAATAGCAGCAACATATGACGAATTTCATCAGATAGACTGCAGACTGCATCTCCTATTTATGAGGACCAGTCTTAATTCTAATCCTGTTCATCTATTTCTGCAGCCCTAATGGATGAGAAGGATCGGTGCCTGGGCCTACTGCTCTCCTAAAGAAAAATAATTTTCCCACTGACTTCGAATGAAAAAGGATCAGGGCCTATCCTTTGGAGATCTAATGAACATTTGCATGCATTTATTGTTTTTTAATTTGATTAGAGCTCTAATTCTGATGTGGAGACATTAAAAGTCTCACAGCGGTTTTCATTTTAAAAAGTATCAAACTAGCCTTTAGCCAAAACTTGCTGATATAAATGAACCCAACTGATTTGAATGATATTAGAATCAAGAAAATAGAAATTTGGTCTAATCTGCACAATAATTTGCACAGGAATCAATCAGAGGCACCAAATGGGTGATGACCTATTACAAAGCATAAGTGTCCACCACTATTGAATTTCAAACCCTTTTGAAGCTTGAACACAGCCTGAAGTTGTTGGATATAGAACAACTGAAGCATCCAAAGGTTTTTTTTTTTTTTAGGATAGAAGATAAGAGTTCATGCTTATACCATACTATCCTCGTGAATCAGGGCTCAGATGCAGATACTGAGACCTCTCCCATTTACTTTCCCCCCACATATTAGTTGTAGTCATTGCACTTGGATAAGTCAGAGAATCCACAGGACTGTGACAAAAGAAAAATAAAATATGGATCTTAGAATTGGACCTGAGGACAGGCAAGGAAATGGTCTACTTTTGAAGACAGGATGAAATAATTATTAACTGAAAGATGGACTTATGATGAACTTCAAGCGTGGAGGCATATGTTGCATTAACTCCTTTATTTTATTTTTTAGGGTATACAGGGTCCACAAGGAAACCCTGGGGCAAAAGGATCTAAAGGTTTTGGTCTGCCAGGTCCAAAGGTAATGGTTCAGATCTGATTTTTAAAAAAATGGCAAAAAATGACTGTTCATTGGAGATAGCAATTCAGCTTTGATCTTTGAGGGGAAAACTCCAATGCCATCAAGGTGTTCCTCAAAAGCAGCATATGGCTTCTGCTTAGCCTCAAGCCCATAAGCTCTGTGAATGTGAATTTTAGGTTCTGAATAAACACAAATTTACAAACAAAATATCTTTCAGACATGTTCATATCAAATGATTTTAGTGCCATATATACGTTGTATTTAGGTATAGCATTTTACCAAGCAACTCAGCCATAAACCAGTGACAGTTTGGAAAATTATGCCTAGCCCCATTAGGCCGGTCTTACTCCTTGCCCCTGTCTGTTGTCCAGTCTTCCATGGTGAATACGAAAGAGAATCAAAGTCTGCTAGAAAGAGTAGGAGAGAAGGAAGAACTTAAGTATATTCAGTAGGTAATACTGCGGCATAGTAGGAGGGAAAGTAGGAATAGAACAAGAAAACAGGGCAAGCAATCACTGCTGTCAAAGCCTAAGTCTCTCGCAGAACAAGGTCAGGTGAGAAATGCATGAGGGGGAAAAAAGGGAATTGACCATATGTTCAGGAGAGCAAGTGGCATGAACAGGTAACGTGTAAAGCAGAAGCATGCTATGTAATCATCTTGATTTACAGAAAGAACACAGTGGTTACTCTAATAAAACCATGGAGAAATACAATCATTTTCTTCTGGACTTTGGCATGTAAGGAGCAGCTGCAGAAACAATCTTTAATACTAAGGCAGGGAAAAATAAGAAGTTGAGAAAAATATTCTATATGAGGAAGTTTTCCCTACCATGAAACAGTATTTTAAAAAGCAAAATTTAAAAATGGAACTACTATTTCCTTAACTGTTTTAGAAGTACTAGAAGGAAGAATTACAATAGCAAAGTTTCCTATTAAAAAGAAGTTAAAATTTTTCTTTATTTGGACTCACTTTTCTTTCAGTGACAAAAGAGTCTTAAATATATTGGTATAGAATAAAAAATATAAAATGTATTTAAGTGAGAGAGTTAGAATAAAAATGAGAAAATTTGAATGATTCACATAGACCTTTTCCCCACTGCGAAGTTAAATAAAGTAGATGAAGTCCTACAAGTTACTGAGATTTTGAAAGAATAGACTTTTCCAGTGGAAAACCACTCAGTTGAAAAATCTGACCATCTCTAAACCAACTAGTGAAATTGTACAAGTAATGAATGAAGCTAGATTATGTTCCTTTGCCAAACAAAAGAATTTTTTTGTTACCAGGGTCAACCAGGTGAGCCTGGACAAAAAGGAGAACCAGGACTTCCAGGAATTGGAGTACGAGGATTTAAGGTGAGCCTATTTTTTTAACTGCTACTGCTTCTAATTCTTTCCCAAGTTGCTGACAAACTAAATAGAAGATTTTTTTGGTATAAATTGACTATGATCAAAATAAGCAATTTCAGTGAAAGATAATCCTTTAAACACAAACTGCTGTGCTAGGGCTCTCGCCCTCTCTCCTGAAATCATTATAGCAGCTGTAACTGGAACAGAGTTTGCGCCTGTCTTTTCTAAGCTAATGACATATTTCAAAGACAAGATAGAAAGGCTGCTGCTACATCCGTTCCTCTGCACAGATTGGAAAAAACGCAGTCTATGTGACAGTGGTGGCCATACTATCCCTGTATTAGAAGAGCTGGTGGTCACTTACAGTTTTAATTGACTTTAGCTGCGCTTTTGAGGGCTGTATACTAGGTCCTTGGCGTTTCAAGTAGGATTTCCAAAAAACAAGATAAAATGACATGGCCATTTTGTTTTAAGTGCTTTTTCCCAGGATCACGTAAGAAGTACTTAGCAAGATTAGTTGCTATAGACGATTTCATCTCTTTGTGGCAAGGTGTATCTTAAAAGTAATGCCCAGACCAGTTTATGCAGCAAGTGACATAGTAGCCCTGCAGTCAACAACTTCCTTTATTAAAAACCACTCTGCTAGTGTCATCTAATTCATGCAATAAATAAGATAGAAGATATATGGTCAGCTAAACCAATGACTATGATGTAAATGCACAAGATAGTTGATTAGGTTGGACAGGCAGTTTAGGTTGATAGTTCCTTAAGACCCAGATGTTTGACTTTGCAAGTAAATGATATTCTTGTCATGTTATTCTTGCATATAGAATAACAAACAGCATTTTATCATGTGTTTTTACTTGCCAAATAAATGTAAATTTATTTAATACAAAACCAAGAAAGAAATGTAAAATATATGTTTTAGATTGTTTGATTAGGAAAAGTTACTAACTTTATAGCATATTTAACTCACTGGGAATAACAACCTTTATTTGAGCAAAAAAAGACATTAATTAAAATTCTAAGCCATTGTACAGAACAGAAGAACTTATTGAGGTATGCAGATATAATTATCTATTCTTCTCTAAGGGAGATATAGGCCTATCAGGACTCCCAGGAGAGAAAGGGGTGCAGGGAGACCCTGGGAAGGCAGGGAAAAAGGTAAGGCAATATAATTAACTGCATGTAAAAGTTGTAGATGAAAGAAGACCAAATTTGGTTTGCATTACTTTGCAGATGTGTAAATACCAAGGTGTTTATCCTGGGGGAGGGCACATGCTTATAGTTTTGTCAAGAAGAGGGGGTATGCTAATCGAGAGGAAGTTTCCAATAAATTTAACTAAGTTTAGAGGCTCCTGTCTTAATCAGCAACTGTTCCAGCTCCCCTGTCTTTTACAGGCTATTGACTGCCTCTGGATTTCATGATCTTGGACAACAGACAGCTTTTGTCCTTAGTCTGCTCCTCACAGTCTGCTCAAATCTTCTCTGATGCTAAGAGGTCATGCTCAAATTAGCATGATCTAAGGGACACTAGCTGGATTGTGAGCTTGGGCTGAAGTCTGTCAGCCTGGTACAGAAACTGTTATAGGTAGCTAAAACCTGTGCTGGTCATTTCTAAAGGAAATTCAGAGATTTGAAGAGAAACTCTTCCATCATGGGGAAAAAGAATCATAGTTTCAAAATGGTGGAACGAAGTTTAGAGGAGAGCAAAGCAAAGTGCCCCAAATAGTCATTGCAGAATGAATTAGGAGGAGGCTTTCAAATCTATGTTTTTCCACAAAGAATGAGCCGCTTAGTAAGCGAGGCTTAGTTCTTTGGCTGATTCTTGAAGAGCTGCTAAGAAGCAGGAGCCCTCCAAAATTTGCTACTGTGTATTTGAGAATGGTGGTTTTTCCCCTCACATGTTACCATCATTCTGAAGATCAACTTGGTGCTGTCACCTTTTTGGCATAATTCATTAAAAGTGAAAATGTTAGTACTGAGCAGCTATCTCGGGTATTCAAGGCAGTGCAAAGAACTGCCTGATGTCTGTATTGAATAGTGGGCATAGAGATATGGTAATAGTTATTTGCAGGTGGGAAGCTGGCTCACAGAAATGGGATTCAGATTGGTGCCTAACAAAAGCAGGCTGTATAATATCATGTTCATCATCAGCTTGAATCAGAAAGGAACTTTTAAAATTAATTATGATCTGTTTTTCAGTTTCTGAATTATATACAGGCATTTTGATGTACTAATCTCATTGATCTTATTCATAAATATTTGTTAGATAATTTTCCTAAATATAATATAATGTGTGCACTATTTGAAGTTATATCTGTGCAGACATTTGCAGCCTGGATTGGTTTTTGGCTGCTGAGTTGCATAAAGTTGCTGCATCTTAAAAATCCTTTGTCTCAGAATTGATCGACATAAGATCTGTTGTGATAACTTTATAACCATTTCTCTTCCTCATATGAGTGGAGGTCTTATACGAGGAACTCATATGCATGGAGTTCTTCCCACAAAAGAGTAATGCAAGTGCAATTGGCACTACTACAAATGTTTGTAGAAATAAGGAATATGAATGCAGGAGGAGAGTGGTGATCGAGAGGTTACGAAGATAGAAAATGGTGATATCTTTTTTCATTCTCAGTGTTTTCGTTTTTGCAGAAAAAAAATCCTGAACAGATTGTTTAATGATATTTTTGGGAGAAGTATTGATGCAAGCTTTGCTGCTCAGAAGTTCATTTATTAACTGATTTAATAAAAATAATTAAATGAAAATTCATTAACCATCTAATCTCTGTTAGGGAGAAAAGGGAGATCAAGGTCCAAGAGGCCCAGAAGGACCCCCTGGCAAAGGAGATGTAGGCCAAAAGGTATGGCTTAACATGTGCACTTGAGAAATACTACAAACTTAGATGGGCCTGTTTTATGAGGTCAGTTTTTGGCCTATCTTTTCATTCATTATACCTCAAAGAAGCAATTGTATTTTAACTGATGATTTAAAAGGACTTGAGATAGAACAATGCATTCCTTAGCCTGAACAAGTACAGCAAAAATACACTACAAACATTGAGACAAAAGTTAATTAGATAATTAAGATTTTCTAAAAATGTAATATAAAATTTTTCATAAAGTTAGGAATCAGATTACCTCAGGATGCTGATAGGGAGAGAAGAAGGAACAAAGTGAAATTAAGTCATTATTTACATGCCTAGATATGAAATTAAAAGCCTGGAAGGACATACTAGTAGAGAGACAGATGCTTTTCTGTCTCATCTGGTAAAATTTATGACATTAGGTTCAAATTCTAAAACTGAGCAAGATTTCAGTTGGAGTGAAATATCTGAATACCTATCCAGTTATGGGCTTCACTGTAGCTGGCTTTTTTGCTTATTTGTGTATCTCGCAGGTCTGAATGGAACTTGTTGTGACTTAAACAAAAGCTTTGTTTTGATCAGGGTGACCCAGGAGAAAAAGGATCCCAAGGACTGATTGGTAATACAGGAGCACAAGGCCCAGCAGGACCAAAAGTAAGCTTGTTCTTTCAGGGTAGCTCTTCCCTTTGTATTTGATACCGGATCTATGGGATTTCTGTAACGTACAAATTCATCAAGTGTGTGATGCTTGGAGACTTATACAGAAAAAAAGGAAAAGCAGAAATATTTCCGTCCTTTGCCCTGAGTGATACACGCACTTGAGGAGAAAAAGGATAGGCAAACAAAATATAATTACAGACTTTATCATTGCGTTTGAGCACTAAAAAACTAAATTAATGTTGTCCAGGTGACTTTAACCATGCCATTTTGCAAATTTTGGCTTTGAAACTTTACCTTTCGTTTGTGTGGCATTTTGCGTGTAATAAGTATCACCCTTAATGGAATGGAAATTCAAATCATACAAGTGTTCAGGTTATTCAGTTGGCTTGTAAGCACTACACCAAAAGAATTAAAGTTGAAAAGTCAAAAATGTAGTTCAACTAATAGTTATTTACAGCTTGGAACTTGGAACAGCTTCCACACAGCAATATATACATTTTGTTTTCCAAAACGCTGTCCATTTTTCCCTGAAGTAGTTTAGCTATTTTATATTATTAAAGTTTTGAGAATACTTAATGCTATTTGTGCTGGAAATGTAACTGTATCCTTAATTCTAGATGATACCATTTTGTAACAGGGTGAACCTGGAGAAAGAGGGCCACCTGGTGTCACTGGATCATCTGTTCAGGGGCCTGCTGGACCAAAGGTGATTATCTGATATGTGCTTCCTGGAGATCAGAGATGGAAAATTCGCAATGCACATTTCTGTCAAAGTTAAAAGAATGTAAATGAAAGGAGTTAAAATTTTTTCTTTTGGTTGAAACAAAGGTGGCTGACTTTTAGAAGTAAGTAGGTTTGGAAAGTACCAAAAAGAGCTGTTGAACATAGTGCTGGCCTTAGTGCCTGTTATTACCTCTTGAAACCATTTATTTAGAGAAAAAAGTATCCTTATACATTGTATTTTTATTATGTTTTCACTCCTCCTTTGAAACTAATCACTTTGAAGTCTTCTATTTTCAAATTCACTTACTTTTTTTTTTTTTTTTTTACTTTTTTTTGGAAGACTAGAAGTTTCCTGACTGTTCAACTACAGGATAACTACAGGATTTTTTTGGCGAAAGCTGTTTGTGTATCACTTTCAGGTGACCAACTGTCCTGTAGATACTACTATAAATGAAATGTCAGATACCAGATAACTGCTAAATCCTCCTCGTTACATTTATGGAGAAAATCTAACTGGAATGAGTTGGACTTGTCATTCTGAGTAAAACAAGCAGATTCAGGAACAGTAAAACTAACTCTGAAAGTTTTAGAAACTTTTGAAAATTCACCACCACCTCATTTTATTTTAAGAAGAAAATAGTTACTGCTTTTACAATATAGCAGGTAACTTGAACATTAATTGACACTGTTAAGTTTTGATGATAAGTTTTCAGGGTTTAGAAATCCCTAATTCACATCCTATCACTCTCAAGTCATTTCATCCCCATTTTTCTTCTTCCTTAAGAAGAACACACATACCCACACATATGCACGTGTAGGCATGGTATATACAGTGTGCTCCATAGCCTGATGACAGGACATCACAGGGAGCTAGGAAGTGGTGTGGACTTGTTTATGTATGGAGAAATGAAGAAGAGAAGGGAGGAAGCTTGGGGCACACGTGCAGTAAAAATGCAATCACAAAGAAGAAAGAAAAGAGAAGCGTGTGGCATTCTGTGGCATATCTCTTTTATTGGTTTAAAACCATTATAATGTACCAGATTTCATGGCAGATATGAAGGCAGGCTTCAGAACACTGATCTCACTTCTTGATATGATGCTAATTTTTTGGATGCTGTGACTTTTTGGATAGGTAAGAAAGTCAGTCAAGATTGTCCACTGCAAATTCTTGCTGGAAAAAAAAGAGCTTTGAATTCATTGCCTTTTTCACTTTGATTTTATTCAGTTCATTACAATTCATATCACTTTCGTAGTAGCTTGGCCATGATACAAAATCTACTGAAGCCTGTTCCTACTGAAGCCTGTAGGAGTTTTTCCAGATTCTTTACTAAATTTTAGATCAGGCCTTTTATATGAATGGCTGATGCAACAGAAGAAGTTATGTGGGTAATTATGAAATGCAGGTTGATTTTTAGAAAATATACAATTGTTTGTCTCCAAAAACAAGCAAGAATCTCTACATTTTTAAACTACCACTCAATAATGTAAGAGGCTACAGAGAGGTTCATTTTCTCTCTCGACTCTGGGCAGTACAACACTAGTGATTATGTTCTTGGAACATCCTGGTATATGCAGTAGTGAAGCCAGACGTTATAAATTTCGAATGCAAGGAATCAGCATGTTGTTCAAACCTGGGAATTGTCAGCGTCCGAGGTCTTTCTAGTGCATCTCTAAATATTTGATGTAGCAGTGGGCGATTGCTAGATGTCAAACTCCTGGCCATCTGTGGTCGTATCCGTTGGAAACTAATTTATTTTAAACTACACCCACGCTTGGGGACCACAGTTTTATTTCCCTTGACAACCATTAAGCTATTAATAATATAAAGACAGTAACTTTAGATGGCTGTTTTTTCTCCTATTGCTCTCTCGTGGTTACAGCCGCTTTTGACAGAATGTTTGATTTTCATTCCCTAGTGAATGTTCCCTGAAATATGGACTTTCCATCTTATCAGGTTCCACCAAAACATGAAAGCTTCTTTGTAGGATCCTTAATGTAAAGCAAAATATCTCTTGCCTTAGTTTAAACACCAGAAGGAGCCGAATTTTGCTCTGTGAAAGGATAACATGAGCTAAAATGAAATCTAAGCCTGATTGTTTTCCAGGAAAGGTGCTGCTAAGATCCCCAGCAGTTGTAACAGATAATATTTGAAAAAAAACTGAAATTTCTTCCAGGGTCTTCATAAAAGCAGGTATATGGAGTTTGCAACTTCGAAGAGTGGAGCTATTACATTTGTAGGCTTTCTCTGTCTGTGGCAGCACTTGTCACTGTATCATCTTTGCTCGGTGCACCTCGAGGTGCTTTCTCTGGCAGAAACAAGGTTATGCCAGCCTTGTACCAGTTTGTGCTCGGTTATGCTCAAGAAAGCAGGCAGAAGCCATGGGTGAATCTGGCCACTGAAACTGAATTGTAATGCTCAACCTCCAGTTGAAAACTAAAGCTGTCAAGTTATTCCTAAATGCAGGATAAACTCTTTTTACACTCTTGAGGAGAAGCAAAAGTATAAGAGAGGCTAGAATTAAGGTAGCAAAAACTTCTGCAAATATCAGTGACATAGTCTCTAGCTCAGAAATTGTCATGTCATTGTGAGAAAGAGTTGGCTACTGTTTCTGTAAAACTGTAGTTAAAAATGAAAATAACCAAAGTGTTTTTGGATTGATTTCTTTTTGGATAGGGGGAGCCAGGACCCCAGGGGCCACCAGGAGATGATGGACTTCCTGGAAATTCAATAATGGGACCAATGGTAGGAATTCTTTGAGACAAAAGATGAAACATAGAGAAAAACGAGACACATGTAAAGCTCTTGCTAGACTGTAGAAACCACTTGGATGACTTCTTCAGACAAGTAATCAACTAGTTCTTCAACTTTTCCATCATTAAGCCAATTTTTAAAATATACTTCTGATATTTTCAAATAAGAAACATAAAATGGATTAAATAACTAGTGCAATGCTCTTCTGAAACTTCCCTCAGGAAGTTCCCTTCATTAGGAAGGTAGCTCTTCAAATTCATCTCTACTTTTCATTATTTCATACGGTATTTGACACGTATCCTCTTTAGCGAGCATAAACTGAAAGGTATTAGTAATTTGACTGTTGTGTTTTGGTCTTACCAATCCTGGCCATTCAAAAAAATAGGTAAGACCCAAAATAATGACTTTAAAAGATATATCTTTGGAAGTACTTATTTGCATTTAGGTTACAGAATAGGATTTACTTGGTTATAAGTTTTAAGTTTCTAACTTCAACTTCAGTACTGAGTATGGAGTACAATAACCTGTAGCAAGATTTTTGTGCTCACTGTGCAACCATTTAGTAGTTAACTTGCAAGATCAACACACACAAGTGAAAGACCAGAGATAAAACTGAGGATTTGGCAGTAAAGAGACTGCAGTCTTTGAAAAGGTGACCAGACTGTTCAAAGGGGAAGGAGAACTGTTTTGAGGAAGCTTATCAATTTTTTCAACAGAATTGGCTCATGTACAGGAAGTAGAAGAGCAACACAAGAAAAGTGCTCATGATTAGAGGTAGAGTAGTAAGACATTCTCCTCTGTAGTGCACTGAGTTGACATAAGGCTGCTTGAAAAATAACATGAGATCAAGGGCCGTCCCGTTTTAAAGAAGATCAGCTGGAGGAAAACAATCTATATTCTAGATGTATTCTCTATCTATGTTATAAATGTATTCTATTTTATATCTGGATCTATATTCTATATCTATATTCTAGATATATTCCATATATATATATGTAGTAGCAAAAGGTCTGGGAGCCCAGGTCATTTTCTCCTCAATTCTACAAGTGAGGGGGAAGGATGGGAGGAGAAGTAGACGGATTTTCCAAGTTAACAACTGGCTGTAACCCTGGTGTTGGCAACAGGGTTTTGATTTCTACAGCCATAGCACCCTATCTGAAGATCGACAACTGATGGGGGGAGATGGGATCCACCTCACTCAGTGGGGCATGCATGTCTTTGCCAACACGTTGGCCAGCCTGGTAAGGAGGGCTTTAAACTAGGAAAGATGGGGGAAGGGGAGAGTTACAGAGAGAGGGTAGTCAATAAAATGCGGATCAAGTCAGGATGCCTCCAGAAATAGCATGCAGCCAGGGAAGTGCGCACAGGACATGACCATGGAGGATCCTCTTGCACCCCTCCTGGAAAACCTGCATGCTCAACTACCTCTCTGAAATGCCTATACACCAATGCACACAGCATGGGGAATAAACAGGAAGAATTAGAGATCTGGGTGCAGTCACAGGGCTATGATCTCATTGCAGTTACAGAGACATGGTGGGATAGCTCGCATGACTGGAATGCTGCCATGGATGGCTATGTGCTTTTCAGGAAAGACAGGCCAGGAAGGCAAGGTGGTGAAGTTGCTCTTAATGTGAGAGAGCAACTGGACTGTATGGAGTTCTGCCTAGGGGTGGATGAAGAGCAAGGTGAGAGCTTATGGGTAAGGATTAAAGGGCAGGCTAACATGGGTGACACTGTTGTGGGTGTTTGCTACAGGCCACCTGATCAGGAAGAGGAAGTACATGAAGCCTTCTACAGACAGCTGGAAGTAGCCTCACGATCACAGGCCCTGGTTCTCAGGGGGGACTCCAACCACCCTGATATCTGCTGGAGGAACAACACAGCAAGGCACAAGCAATCCAGGAGGTTTCTGCAGAGCATTGATTGATGATAACTTTTTGGCACAGGTGATGGAGGAGCCAGTGAGGAGAGCTGTGCTAAGGAAGGTCTGGTTGGAGATGTGAAGGTTGGGGGCAGCCTTGGCTGCAGTGACCATGAGATGGTGGAGTTCAGGATCCTGCAAGGAGGGAGCAGGGCAATGAGTAGGATTGCAACCCTGGACTTGAGGAGAGCTAACTTTGGCCTCTTCAGGGACCTTCTTGGAAGAATCCCATGGGTTCTGGTCCTAGAATGAAGAGGGATCCAGGAGAGCTGGTTAATATTCAAGCATCACTTCTTCCAAGCTCAAGATCAGTGCATCTCTATGAGTAAGAAGTCAAACAAAGCAGGCAGGAGACCTGCCTGGATGAGCAAGGAGCTCCTGGCAAAACTCCAGCAGAAGAAGGAAGTGTACAGAATGTGGAAAAGGGGACAGACCACTTGGGAGGAATATAGGGATGTTGTCAGAGTATACAGGGATGCGACGACAAAGGCCAAGGCCCGTTTGGAATTAAATCTGGCAAGGGATGTCAAGGACAGCCAGAAGGGCGGCTTCAACCTTATCA